AAATGGGAGAAGAATTCGCAGGCCCGTTTAGAGGTTTTGTTTAGAGGGTCTTTACACTACCTGAAGGAACAACGCCTTCAATTGAACCCTAGAGCCTAGAGCTTTGCCCTAGTTCTAGCAGGTCACCCGCTGGTACAAAGACCAAAAGCCTCGGTGACAGGGATTTTACTTGGTTTTAGTGCTGCATCAGGCGCGAGGATTGCCCATCAAACTAGCACCTTTGACTCTTGACGAACCAAGGAGTGAAAAGAACACAAGTTTCCAAGAACCAAGTTTCACTCTTCTGCTGATCACACTTAATCTCACCCTTGCAAAACACAAAGGAGTGAAAAGCAGCAAAAACACCACACTCATCGGCTGAAAGTGTAATCACAAATCACACAAATCCTTTAAAAGACATAAACACACTGCAAAATGGCATGTCAATGTATAGACCTTGTACCATTCCCCCCCACACTGATAGAGCTACACCACTCTACTTGTTGGGCAAAAACCTGTGAGCTGGACTCCTTTCATCCGCCTTCATCAGGTATTGCTTCAAAGCATACTGAAGCTGCCTGAGAATGCTAGCTCTCGCAAGTGCTCTATTACAACCGGAAAGCGCCAAAAAAACATCCAAGTTGTACCATACATTTGCACGAACATCACCATGCCATGCGAGGTTTGTGATTTTACATTGTCCACCTGTGCCATGTTGCACCTGTCCCGAACCATGTTGTACCAACACTACAATCACTACGAAACCACATGAATTGCTCAATTTGGTCAAGCCACTGAAGCAAATGATGGCCTTTAAGCCGATGCTGTTCGCCCAAGCGTGCTTCGCAAAGACATCGCACCAGCAAAGACCGCACGGTGAACCTGAGGGATGTGATGAGAACACTACACCTGGGGGCATTCTCCAACACAGAGTGGCTCATCCGTTCGTGTGGATGAACCCCAACTGCACTTCACCACATCCCACCGTCTTCTCACTCTGTCGACCTGGATCAGTTGGCTTCACCCTCTCACAGTACCAAGGGGCTGATCATCTTCGCATCCCAAACGTTCATAAAGCTCTAGAGCTCGTTCAGCTTGGGAATCATGACCACCCAGGTCCTTGTTGCTGTGCATTGTGCACAAGCCTTTTGCTCCTAAAGCTTGGAGTTGGGGAGTTGATCTTAAGCAAACGGATCAAACAGATCGCAGCTCGAGTGAGTTTGGGACATACAAGTTCTGAATGTGTCAGTCATGTGATAGAAAGTACTCTAAACGGCAAGCAGCTAATCCTCATGGAACACAGCGCAAACAACAACTTGGTTGAATGCAAAACGGTAGTAATTAGTAACAACTACTCACAAGGTTCCTTCTCTGCAAGACATACATAAGTTTTACAATATTCGAGATGTCACTCTTGATAAAACCACTTTTTGAGAGAACGTCTATTCAGAATGGTGTCCGATGCGGCTTCTGCGAAGATCACCAAAAGCTCAGGTGCGAAGTCTTCTCCTGGGCAATTTGACAGAGATCACACCATGCCGCACTGGGGCACTGAGATGTACCAGATCTACTGTGAAATTCTGGTCGGCTTCTCGAGTAGAATGATCGCGAGCTGCAGCTTGCCTAGCTGGCTGATCTATCTTGAACAATTTCCATGACTGACGGCACGAGAGTATCTGCGTAGAAGGCCATGGAGGTCTTTTCTTCAAGGAACGCATCCCCTCAAGATCAATGAAGAAAGTGTGATATGTTGGAATTGGATGGGGCACTGACTAATGAACTAGTATGCTGAGCACGGGGCTTCATTGTGAAGCACTCAGTTCCCCTAAAACTCCCGAGGTGGTTTGGTTCTGTCACACTCGTGTAATTCCCAATGACTATGCCAGTGTTCTTAGAAGCTTCCATTCTGATGAATCAAGCACCTCAAGTATCTTGCAGTTTCGCCCTTTATTCTCAGGCTTTTCACCATTCCCTTATCCTTCTTCACATTGCAAGACCAGATTCCGATGGTGAATCGACTTGCATTGCCCTGAATGATGGCGAAGGCATCATTCACCAGCTTCGAAGCCCTTGGCGGAGGTTCAAATGAGAGGGTCCTTCAATTTCGACAGCGTTACTACTAGTATAGGTAGTAGCTTAAGTAAGCTACTAGCTACCTAGCTACCTCTAGCGGCCTACCCCGCCCCTTTAACCAAAAAAAAAGTTGGAAGAACCTCCAGTTTTATTTCATTTCAATTCCTACAAGGCAAAAACTCAGATTCTGAAGCTCCGACTGCTAGGCTCGGGCCCCCGCTGTGTTGGCTCAGTGGTACGTTGCGCTTCATGGATCAACCGCCGGAGGTGGTAGTCCGTCGAGGCCATGCCTAGCACAAGAAACAAATCGGATTGGGATTATCATTTCATTGGCAGGCAGCATGTTCATGTTCTTGTCTCTATCTTCCTGGACCCCAGAAAGCTCGTGTCCATAAGACTATTAGATCTCTAGATCTCTAAATGACCTGTTAGGTGCTGGAGTGTGACTTAGTGATGTAATTCGTGAGAGATTGTATCTATCTGGTGGTTCAAGTGCAGCGCAAGATCTGGTTCTGTGTTTCACTGCTCTAGTTGGACTACACGGACAACCACACACAGAAGCATTCGCCGTCTTTGGTTACTAAAGTTCCAAACTTATCAGGGCATGAACACAGTATGAGGGGCTGCAAATGGGTGGCTTGTTAAAAGATTTCCTTTTTGGCACGTGATTCTTGGCAATCAAGAAAGGCACACCTCCGTCTGACTCTGCTCCGGCCTCCTTATGCAAAGACCTGGCATGCGGGTGGATCGATTCGGGACGTGTTCTGAATAAGCAAAGGTCAGATCTGTGGCACTTGGAGGTTGTTTGCATGTTGCGGGTGGTGCTCAGCACAAACTACAGGAATTCACCTGCTAGTGCAAGATACCCCGACCCTCTTTTTTAATGCTTGTGATACCAGGACTAAGATCAATTCGTACCTTCGCAAGACTTCCAGCAGCCCATGTTAACAAACTAGCATCATTGACGAGCTACCTTTCACGCCTTTCATGCCCTTTCAAAGCGGTTCTATTCCCTTCTTGTAAATTCTTTGAGCATCCAGCCCAGCGGAGAACAGTGGCACCTTGAATTCGATCTGCGCTTTGCGCAAGATGATTGAGCATCACTGTCGAAAACGACTCTGGAGTGTGCTTTGAAGGTTGGCTGGGGTTGGTTGGCAATGGGTGCTGTTGCCCTGGACGACTGTTCTGGGTTGTCCTCGAACAATGCATACCACACATGACATGACTGTATTGACCAGGTGGTCAACTGGTGAAACATTCTCAACACTTTGAACCGACTCTGCAATGGCAAGCCACATCAGCCAGGTACACGATGGAGATCAATGGATTGATGTCCGGTCAAAACCCAAATGTGCTCTGATACGTCCTTGCTAACCAAACTGTTGCCAAATTAGCTTGGAAAGGATCAGGGTGTTGCCCTTCAAAGGAAAATGTAGAAATCCTTCAAGACATCTTGCTCTCACGAGGATTCTTTCTCTCCGATGATGCTGATAATCGTCTGTGCAGACCCACCTGTTCCACAGCTAAGCCATGGGAATGAATGAATTTCATCTCGGGTTCACGTCATGGCTGAGATCACAAAACTGCAAAAGATTCAAAAGACCACGGCGAGGATGGTACGTGAGACGGCCTGTGAACGGCCCGAACACTCTGCGATGAGTCAGTGTTCCTTTCAGAAAAGCAAAATGATCCATCTTCATTGCTTCTTCATGATGTTACTCAAGTAGATCGCAGACTATTTTCTGTGCATATGTTTGTTTCTTCCCACACTGTGTTTTGGTTGGACAGCGATCGCGGAGAGTGCTAAAATGCGCCCAAGCAATCCAATGAACCAAATGGCCCATGTCATGTTCTGGAACCATGCACTGAATTAGGCAAAGGCATGCCGAAGCCTTTCCATCTTCGCAAGAAGCAACACCGGAAAAACACCACGCCTTGCCAAAGCAGAGGTTTTGGGTGTGGAGTATCTTGTAGACTCCATAAAGCAAATCCCGACTTGTACAGGATCCGCGGAGATTTGCAGGATCAACTGGGAATGACCAGAGGAATCCTGCGAATTCGGCCTGTACAGCTCATGCCTTGCAAGTCCTGCTCACTCTTGGAGCGTGCGAAACATAGAATTCACTCCCAAACGCCATGGACTATTGCATATCTTTTACAAGAAAAACCGAAAGAAAACGCACAAAGACACATCAAACCCATGATCTCCAGCGATTCCGATTCCTGTCACCTGCCCAAAAGACACATTCTTTCAGCATTTGGATCGAGACTCACAGGCCATAGCCTGGTTACATGGGAGTCTCCCAGTGCATCAGCAAACGCACTGAACGAAGCCTGCGGGCGCCTTGAGGACGAGCCACGACTGTGCACTGTGGGCAGTGACTGTGGGAAAAGCGCCCCAACGAAGCCGTGGGACGTACTGAGACCCCGTGACACATCGTGACACGATGTACTGAGACATCTGTTGGAAGATGTGTTCTTCACTTTTGCTTCAAAAAAAGGAATCTGAAGATTAAAGTGATGAAATAAGATGAACATACGTGAAGTGACCTTCAATGTGAGGGATCCAGCGATCCCGTCTCCGGCTTCATGGTATTTGTCAGACCTTGAGAACTTCACGCTGACTGGTGACCAGAAACGTCCTGTCCGTTTCTCCGCTCCGCCACCGGATCAACAGAATTCTTTCGCGAACAAATCCCAAAAGCAGATGTTGTTACTAGTAGCGTCCTTGTTACTACTAGTAAGGCACTTGTTACTAGAAGCGATGCACTTGT